AATATCTAACATTTGTTCATGACTTTACTTTTATGGTTATGTTGTACCCTTTTAGACTTGCTAATTATATACTCTTTGTAGTATATTCTTCTTAATTTTGTACAGTAGTTTAACAAAATGTAACACAGCATGAAATATGATTACCAACTTTTTTCCATGTTTATTACAAATGTCATACATTTGTGTGTACGTTACATTGACATAACTTCTAATGATCATATACACACTTTCATATATGAATTCCTATCAAACAATTTCCAACTGTCCAACATTTAAATTTCCCAATTGTTCAACAAACATTTTCCTGATTATACCACATACATTTAATTTCCATAAGTTTTTACCGGTAATTTAAAACAAACGGACAATTGGGATGTAGTGGAGTGACCAAGCCAACAAATCTTCAACTTTAAAGGACCACCCTACCTACAGGCTAAACTCCTTCAGGCAAAGTTGACCTTAGATTAATTTGGCTATTTGTTTTATTTATTTTTGTCATATAGCTCTTCAACTGTTCCGGTACTTATACATCCCTCGGATTTCAAATGTTTGGCTTTGAGCGTTCCTAATGAAGGTAAATCCAGAAAAGCGCTTCGGACGCATGAAATTATTTAACGTGTTGTTTTCAATTTTTCATGATTTTTCGTTTAGCAGAATGTTTGAACTTTAATTTTTGCCTGGTTGTAGAATCGAAAAATGGTGCATTTCTTTTAAATTTGAAGTCCAAATTCGGTAATTAAGATTTTCATTAGTGTCCAAAAATGTTACAAGGGGTTATAAAAAGTAAAAAACATAATTTCTGAATTGTGAAATAGGCAAGAAATTACTCCTTACCATGAAAAGGTAAACAATAGAAATTCCTTTTCGAGTCATTTTGAATAAAAAAAACATGTAATTATCAAATGTCTTTTTTTAGGAATATTCAGATGGGCAAATTGCACATAATATTTTTGAACATCGGACTTCTCATTATTAGTCCTTGGGTTTAAACATTCCGCAGAGTCAAAGTGGTATCCACACTTCATGAGTACTTTACTGTTGTACATTTGTACGGAATAATTTTCCCAATATTTTTGACTCATATTTTGTGCAGTTGTGCAGACATCGTTTTCGTCGTCGTCTTCTTCAGAAATTTCTGGGTGAGTAAGATGATTCCTACATGCCGCATCCCCTCCATACGATCAAATTCTTGTACAAGCCAAATTCTATGTGTTGAATACACAGCTTTTATTTCAAGCTCTTTACCCTTGCATGTAAAAATAAGGTCGTGAAGAATCTCTTATGACATAGGTAACTCGAAGAAAACCGGTATGTGTTCTCAATTCTTCAAACACAGGTATGGTCTTTAAAAACAGTAAACAAAAATTTCAAATGCTTTCAGTTCTTTTGGATGAGACAAAAATAAATGAATGATGACGGTAAAAAAAAATCAATTTCCATACGTTTGGCTCAATACTTTTTGTACAGTTTATGTATATGCATCAATTGAAAAAAATTTAAATAAAGGAACCATAACTAAGAGCCTCATAGGGCAGTGTTAATTTTGGAACACCACGATTAAACTGTTCGCAAATAAGAATAAGTTTCAGAGTGAACACATAAGGTTTTAACAAGTTGTTATTGTTGGCATTTGTTTTTGTATAGACCATTTGAAGTAGGTTTTTAGTATTAAAGACTTGATCTCTTTGAAAGGCCACTAGTCTATATACCATATGTTAAGATAGTCGGTAAGATAAATTCGTTACACAGTGTGCTAATGACCTAATACGATATATATGGGGTCTGTTAATTTCATATGGGGATTCGAGCTTCGCTCTCACCCCATCACTCATCACACTATGTAACTAATAATATCAGGCTGTGCTAAGTTTTCTAAATTTACCATATTATTGTGATACTGATACCTTTTTTTATCAACATCATCAAGCAAACTATACACACTTCATGGAGTCGGTGGTACACATCCTGTTTTCTTGTATTCACAGAATTATAAAGCCGTATGGTTTCTTTTGCAGTTAAACAGGACAGGTTTTACTTGATTGTTTAAATCGGATATATAATTCAATAGTTCCAGTTGTTTGAAGGACGGCTTCTTTAAGCTTTCGGAGATGTCAGTATTAGTGGACCACTAAAAGTAGACATATTCCGGGATTAACACTTATCCGCATCAATTTGACGTTTACTGATAGACAAATCTATGTTCAACAAAGGTAAAAACACGATAAAATATCTTTTAGACCAAAAAATATTAGTCAAAACCTTTTAAAAACATTGTTCAATAAACCTGTGATACGAAAATATCAATACTATCATATTTGATTAACAGAAACACAATTAATAGTATGATGCAGTGCTGAAGCGATTTGTCCATAAAAGTAAATCTACTTCCTACGGATGGAGAAATAGATCCGGAAATTCACTGAATTATAATTATTTTTATCAAAAATATGTAAAAACAAGTAAATTTATTTGTAAAAACTGAGCCGTAGTGGTCTAAAACTTTACGAAATAAAGTTTTTTCCTTTCTATATCGAAAAATTTGAAAGATGCGGAAGTAATTAAATTTACAAATGTCGAAACCACTCCATTGATATAAAACAGAGAGTGCATATTTTCAAAAATGAGTGAAAACAACAACAATAAGGCTTAATAGAGAAAACTATAGTTCTACAATATGAATAAGCACTTAAACTCTTCATTTGATACCAAATCAGAAATGTGAGGACTATAGAAAAGAAATAAACGTAAAATGTGTTGTCTAGTATATTTTGAATGAAAAAAACTGCACCGCAGGAAATGGCTACGACTTGGCAAAAAAGTAAGATTAAGGTATTGGCTTTGCAAAAATATAATTTTTAGCCTGCAGTTATACCGGTTCATTAAAGGCGTAAATTAAGCACTTTTTTTTGATATGTCACTCCAATAAAGACACCTGTAAGATAACCATTGCAGTTAACATGCGTACGATATACAAATATTAATAGACGTATTAGATAAATCATGACTTTTGACAAACATTTCAAAGGGGTCCTCTCAAAAGACTTATTAATTTTTCTACCATTAGAATAATGCATTAGGTCATGTAGGTAAAGTCAAATGAAGCATGCTAAAGTAAGGATTTTTTTTTTATTTTCCGTCAATTAAATTGTGCCCTCTTTCTACCAAACCAGCGCAAAGTTTAACCAATCTGATTTATTTTTCCAGCGCGGATGACGCCACATTGTTCCAAGTACATTATAACATTTAAGTCTGCGAATAGCATGTTCGACATTAACTCTGCATTCTCCAATGCGACGATTTAGTTCTTGCATTTAAATTTAGAACGGTCTCTTCCTGTTTTATGACTTAATTGGTGTGATTTTTTTTTGTCATATAAGTGAGAGGTTAAGCGAGCTATGAAATCAGGTTTAATCCACCATTTTATACATGAGGAAATGCCAGCACCAGGTTAGGAATATGACAGTTGTTTTCCATTCGTTTGATGTGTTTGAGCTTTTGATTTTGCCACTTGATGGCTTTCCATTTTGAATATTTTCCTTGGAGTTCAGAACATTTGCTATTTACTTTTTTTTTGTAAGGCGTCATTATTGGATAACAGTTAGCATATATTTTATCCGCTAATATAAAAATGTTCTCTAGGAAATCAAGATGAAGTCCGTGTCCTATCTCTGGCATCGAGTTGAATTGTTGTGCATCATTTTGGTGAACTAGGAAACCGCTGTTGTTTTGGTTTTCAATCAAAAGCCGGGTATGAATACAGTGCATATGTCTGTGTCCGGAATAAAACCGTTCCTGTGGCTCATTTTGCGGGCGATACATTGCATGAGATGCACCGTTTATTACCGCCACTGCGTTTCGCAGTCCTGACCATCAGTCTTGCAATGACAACCAATCGTTATGCTACGGACAATACAATGATGATAATATCTTCCACAGCAACGGTACTATACCATCAATTGTATGTGACATAGTTAATGACGAAACATCAAACATCAAAGACAAAATCGATAACACGGATATGTTCTTAGCCACAAGATAACAATTAAAAGGCGATTTCTGGGAGACCAGCTGCATATGACCGATTCATATGTAAGGAAGCAAGTTTCAAAAATTGTAAAGGCTTTTAGCATTTACTCTTACAGAATGTGATTCTGATTCTAATTTAAATAACTAGAATATCCTAGTATATGACTCGTTTATTTTTGTTAATATATCGCTATGTCATAAAAAAAACTTCAAATATATTACAGCCGTTCTAATTCATGACATGTAGTTTGAGTCTTTTATCTGAAGTGCAAAACATTATCGTCGAGTGAGGTGGCATTGGCAGGTCAAAAAGGGGGAAAGGGGGGGGGGGGGGGGGGGGGGGGGGGGGTCGAGTAAATCAATATTGTTTTTTTGAGATGGTTCCTAATTTAAATGTCTCAACTATAGACTCTCGGCTCTCCTTTGTCAACAATAGTTATTTATCTAACATGTCTATTAATAGAAATAATATAACGTGACACAGGTAAATATGCGTCATATACCTGGTCTACAGTATATTGTCAACAAAACATAACATAGGACAAGCGAAAGCCTGATGGAAATCTACGTACCCTAGTGAGTGAACATTTTTAAGTTATGCAATTAAAGTTTATCATCGAAATCTTGCCAGAACTGAACAAAGGTTTCACATGCTTGTTCTATCCAACTGGAAATAATCAATATATCAAAATTCATTTTGTGATAGTAAGAAGCGAAAAGGTCTTCTCATAAAGTTATTTTCCTTTGAGTGTAAATCTTCACTTACTAATCAGGTTTCAAGTGAAGTTTAACTAAGGCTACTGCATTTCAACACTTTTCATAGCCATTTTGTTCGACAATGTTTTCTTTAAAATCGGACAAAAGTCGCCTTTAATTTCGAATTAGTTTTTTATCGATTTTTTTTGTTTCACCATGTATAATCTTAAGGTGTAAAACCTTTCGAAAGATTTAAACTGTATTTCATTTCCTGGTGTACGGCCTTCACGCGGCGAGCTGTAACTTCCGTAAGTATGTATTTCAATTTTGTTTTCCAACTCAGGTACAAATGCTACATAAAAAACGGTATCAATTATACTATTAGGAATATATTGAACATAAATGTTGAATATGTTGGCCAAAGATTGTGAGTGATAATATCCGTCATGAATTGTCATTCTTCTTGTGTATACGTAGTACATAATGTGTAAGGTGGGCTCGGAAAACAATAATGCATATCAAATTTAAAAAAAAATGTACACACAGGGAATTGTCTACCTACACTCTCAAAAAAGAGATCCTCATAATTATGAGATATAAAAACATAACCCAATCACATGTTCATTGATCTCTTCTGAGTCTTGATCATCATAAATAGTTGTCTTCTGTAATTTGAAAAAAAATGGAGGGAAAATGGTGTTAAATAGTTTCAAAACCTTACAGAATAAAGTCGATTTCGATCATTAATTAACATATTGTTATGCTGTCTTTTGAATACCATTATTACTGTTAGAAAATGAAGTGAAAATTAAGACCAACCTAAATTAACTCAATCATCATTCCATAATATAATTTTTGTTTCGTTGAATTATTTAGAGACAGTCAATTATAAATTATACTAACTTAACCATATTAACAGTTGTTAACGTAAACCATGAACCTGTCTTATCTGACCAAAATCTTCAGTTCGGTTCAAGTAGACTTCTCTGTTTTATCATGCATCATTTTGCTATTTATATGTGTATTTTACAAATGATTTAGAAATCATGTAATTGTACAAATTAGAACATAAATGTATCAAAGATTTTGTCTGTCAATCGCCAATCAAAATTATCATATGTATTGTTTAAAGAATGAGTATTTGATAAATACAACAAAACGAAACTGTCTTCTTATCTTAACACCAGCTTTGAAACACGAACATGTATATAGACCAAAATGAAACATAAAAAGGAGGTTGAAATAGTTTGTATATACACAATTTTAGGTGGGTTTTGTTGAACATTGGTGATTGTTTTTTTTTTTTTTTTTTTTTTTTTTTAATCTTTTACATGGCGTTTGTTGTAATGCGTTGTTTCATAACATTGTTATTTTCCAACCTTTGAAAGCAGATAATGAGCTAATAAATCAATAAAATCGGCGTTTAAAGGCTCAACAATTTTATAGTCGAGTATTTTGCTCACACATTGTTGTCAATATAATGGAATTCTATACGACTGTCATACAAGTGAGAGGTTTTGCTTGTTATAAAAACCAGGTTTCATCCACAATTTTCCCCTCAAGTAAATGCCTGTTCCAATTCAGGAATATGACAGTTGTTTTCTATTCTTTTGATGTGTTTGAGCTTTTGATTTTTCCATTTAAGGAAGGACTTTCCGTTTTTAATTTTTCTTTGGTATTCAGTATTTTCGTTATTTTACTTTTTATCTGATTATCAGCGGATCAAAATATAAGACTTATTGTAGATTTTCGATTTGATCTTGAATAGAAAAGAAATGCAGTAACATCAATGTCCTTAATATAGAAAATGATTTTCGCTTTTTTACGTATTCTTACCTTATTCTTTTTTCCCGAATTTTTGTTTCGTTGAATTATTTGGAGACAGTCAATTAAAATTTTACTAACTAAACCATATTAGCAGTTGTTGAACTAACTTATGAACTTTTCTTATCTGACCAAAATCTTCAGTTTGGTTCAAGTAGGCTTCTCTCTTTTATATGAATCATTTAGCTATTTATATGTGTATTTTAGAAATCCTTAAAATCCAAGTCCTCTGATATCAACAACTTTGTTTGACCATTTCTAACATCTTATCTAAACAACAATTGATGCAGTACTTAGGGCACTCTGCACATCGTACTCTTGGTTTATTTAGCCATAGTTGTTAACGTAGATATAACGCATACAACTGTAACTTTGAAACTCCACTCTCAAGTATGTACAAGAAATTCCTTTCATTTTAAAGTTCTAGCATTTAATATACGATGAACTATTCATATATAGGGTGTATTATATTTTTGATATATTCGATATATTTAACTCTGGTATTTTTAGGACATATTATGACACAAGGTGTTTTGGTATAGTAATCATTTTTAGAAGCCAATATATACTTTAAAACAAGTGATTGAAGCCGCTCCAAGTCCTGTGCCTGCAAATTGTAACTGAAGCAAAGAGATGGGAGCGAGGAATTCTAAGTTGTCAGGTTCCAGTGTAAACACAACTAACTTTGTTAGATTATTTGTAGTGATTCAGATAGAGATTTCAAACTTTCTTCGGGAATTGCTTGTTGTGAAAGAACCACATCTTTCTCTAAATGGGGATATTCGGAAAAACGTTTACCTGAATAATACATTGAAATCATTTGAATGGAGTGTCATAGCAACTGTCCACACGAAACAGTATGCTGATTTTGATATTCCTCTTATGTACAAGATAATAAGAAATTTGAAATTAGTTCCACCACCAACACAAGGCTGGGACAAACAAATTCCACCAACTTCGACAGAAATTACAATTGGAGATAATATAGAACGAATTAGACGTTGCCGGAATGATATTATGCATAGTGGGAATACAAATATCTCAGACGTAGAACTAGCAAATGTGTTCTCACTTTTTATGGACATTGCACGTAGACTGGAAGTATACCTAAATAAACCGAACAGAGAATATGTTTCAGCAATAGAACACGCTAAAACTTGCTGCCTAGATCCGGAAACAGAACAAATGTACCTTCGACAATTGGAAGATCTTTTTGAAAGAGAGACAATAATGGCATCAAATATATCAGCAGTCAGTCATAGTGTTGATGAGATGCGTAGACAAAGTAAGTGAATATAGCAACAAACAAGAAGCGACTGAAAAATAGTTTAGTTTAATATTTTCTTGTTATGTTTAAATTTGATTTATGTTTTGGATGTTTGATAAACAAAGTGGCACACATGTCATATATATTCAGATGATAATTGAGATTGAATTTTATCAAGTAGAAAAAAAATACCACTCTACAAGTCTTTGGTTTAGTCTGACCGCACATTGAAAACCTTTAGACTGTGCACTCGTCTTCGAGTTAGTTTCACGAGGCTTTATCAGTTTTTTAATAAAATTGTATAGGTTCCATCAGCATAAAATTTCATCAAATAAACTCATCATAGATACCAGGATAATAATTTTATACACAAGAGGCGCCTTTTGTCTTCAAAAGTCTCACCAGTGACGCTAAGAAAGGGCCATATAAAGTACGAAGTTGAAAAGCATTGAGGACCCAAAATTCAGAAAGGTTTTGCCAAATACAGCTTATGTAATCTAGCTTTTCAATACTTCAGATGTAGGGGTATTGACATGTTTATAATATTTGAGCAATCTTGTATTTCAAGCTTGCAAAAGTTATAACTAATTGGCATTTTTCAGCAGAAGTGTCTATAACTTGATTCAAGTGTCATATCCTAATCGCCTTTTTTTTGCTTCAACTTACATTTCAATATTTGTTTCATGTGATTCATGATCGTCCTCTGTTTGTTTGTTTGTTTGTTGGACATGTAGAACGACAATGTTAGGGTCTGATGTCTTAGTGTTTTGCAGTTTTCTCAAAACTTTTCGGATCATACCACTTTCCTTTTGATAAAAGAACCCCTAAGAATGACTAATTCCTTGCGTGATTAATAGTTAACCCATGATTGACCATATATTTCAATGGTTTAGAATAATATTTGAAGTGGGTAATTTTATCATGTCTTCACGTGAATAATTTTCCTTTAAGACCTAGAGATACAAATTTGGACGACACTCACCCACCGCTTTCAACTACAATTAAAAAAAACAATTAGCATGAAATACATCAATTTTGTTTAACTCGATCCGCTCTGCTGACCATTTAAGATTAAAATTATAAGTTTCAACATGTTCTTCCAAGAATGTATTTTTATCTGAAATGTATGTGCTTACCTCTTTAGTTAAGGATACATATATGAACAATTGGCTGAAATTAATTAGTAAATGTCAATGCGACCATCACTGGCATATCCAAATAAAGTTCCCTGACGTCACAAAAATATTCTCGCTTGAAACTCTAGATAAACTACTGATGTAATATTGTATTGAATGATAATATAAATAGAAATTCTATGCGTGTATTATTTGTTGTAAAGAATAAAAGTATTGCTAAACGTTAGAGGGGATCAAAATTTTCATGTCTTTGAAAAGGGAGGTCTTGAATTCATTTTTCTTCATCAAGGTGGGGACTTGAAAAAATAATAGAAACTCCGTTGTCTCCACCCAGGTTCCTCCTATGAAAGCAAATGAACAGTCCCTAACAGAGTGTATTGTTTACTGTTTCATACAAAATAATAATACTACAAGTATCCGTCACATACAAAGGCCATTATTATACTAAGTAGATATAAACATATATAAAAATCTAAAATCAGACAAGATGGGTTTAAAATATTTGACATTTGTTTGACAGTAGAATTCAAGATAGATTTTTGAAGTAACCATTTGAATAATTATCAATAGACATCATCACCATAAGCCGAACCAAATCGATACCGAAACCGAAACCAAGGATAGTTGAGTTGGTTGCAATTCTCCGTTGTAAATCTCTACCTTTGCTGAATACAGTGGTGTAACTATATACAATTTGAGATATCGGTATGATTTTGAATATTATATACATTTATCATTGGACATGGTTCTTCGAAGACACTGTGCTGCATAAAGGTAACTTTTTATTCTTCTGATTGGATGTTCTGAAAACACTCTTTTTGTTCGAATAGAACCGTCTCTTTGGTCTCGTGGAAGATTGTCGCCTTGCGATCGGGACGTCGTGGGTTCGAACCAAAGCCGGGTGAAATCAAAGAATTCAAGATTGGTATTTGCTGCCTGTCCGATAACTTAGAGCATAAGGGAGTAAAATAAACGACTGGTTTGCTCAGAGTCAGAACAATATAACCGAGTAGGATGACATGTCTTTCTGAGGACTGCTACTTTTAGATAAAAATCCAGCTCAGCGCATTGGCCTAGTACAAAGCATATAACATTAGCTTGTTTTTAGTCCTGAATGAATTTGATATGACGATGAAGGTTAAACAGTCATTAATTCATCATCACCATCTTGTTCCAATTTTATCGTTGATGTTGATAAGTTTGCGTTGATCGCAGATTATTCAATGTTGATATTTAACCGTTGCATGGTCCAGTATTACCTGTGACATACCCTGGTAAATGGTTTCCTTCTATTTCCATCATCTTACTACCTGTGGTTTGATTAATACACAAGGTATAACTCATAACCAATTCACGAGTTTAGGAAATTGCTGATTGCATTTGTGTGGCAAACTGAAATAGCTTTGAGGTTATATTATGTCCATGGTAAATTGCGTGTTAGTGTTTTGACAGAATTTGTGCATCTAATGACTGTAATATCTATAAGAAAAAAAAGAAATCAATTACATTAAATGGTATGTACAAAATAGATATACATGCACAATCATCTAGTTGAACAAGTTAGAAATAGCAAATATGCCAATATTAAAATTAAATAGTGTGCAGATTTTTGACTTTGGAATTAATTATTATTAATTGTAGGAAAACAGACTTACAGAAAACAAGACCAGAAAAAAAATAACAAGTAAAATGAAAATGTAAATGTAAAACACAATCTTTTGTTGAACTGAATTAATAAAATCATAGTGTGTTTTCTTTCATTTTTTACAAGATTTCCTCTAGAAATAAATTAAGTGAAATGTTTAATGGCTTGGCTTTCATATATTCGGCTTTGAGCGTTCCTAATGAAGATAAATCCAGAAAAGCGCTTCGGACGCATGAAATTTATAGCGTGTTGTTGTTGTTTTATTTTTTTTTTTTTTTTAATAAGTTTTCATTTCCTTTATTTATTTTTTTCTCTTTTCTAAAACTTAATATTGAAGTTTTATAAGAAAATAATGCAGTATTATTTCAAAACATATGTGTATTCAGATTTCCTTTCTATGGATGGTTTTTCCAATTGTATAGTATGTCTTAATTGACAATTAACTGGAAAGGCGAAAGATAAAGGTAAGCCAGTTAGTGTTTTGCGTATTTGTGTGCTGCTGTAGAAATTTGGTATCTTCATGAACCAATGTTTTTCTGTTCAGCAAAAAAATCAGGAAAGTTTGTTAAGATATCAGAGTACCTTGATCGTGATAGCTGTAGCAATAAGGTTATTGTAACAGCTTTAGACTAATAAATCAATTATCATTGTCAAAAAAAAGGAAACATTTATTATTTAGAATTAACAATCATTGAAATAGAACAAATCACTGACCATGTAGTAAACCCATACCCCATGTATTCTAATGTTAAAGTTAATTCAGAAAAAAATTGAAAGTTTTTTTTTCATTAATATGATTATTTGTAGACCATACATAAGCATGATAAGATTGTCGATGTTTTTTTAGAATTAAAAAACAAAAATGCAGACGTTATTATTTTGACTTTACTACTACCAGAGGAGAGTCTTTTTACTTGTGATCTTTTTTCATTAATCTTATATAAAAGTTTTAATTCTAGCAGACTAGTTTCATTTATACATGCATCATCCAATTTTAGTCTGTCAGTAATGTTTTCTTATCTTTAAAATACTTCTATTCATTTTCTTTATATTTAATGGCATTTTGAGTAGAAGTGTTTTATATTTTAACTGATTACAAGGAAAAAGCTTTCGATAGAAGTACAGGTCTTTCATTTTGAAGTTGAAGACTATGTAGTATTTAATGTATTTTCCAAAACTATAGATACCCCAAGAGGATACTACTTCTCAATCCAATTGATATTTACTTCATATATATGATATGTGACTCACATACATAAAACAAAATATTTTATGATGACATTTCAAGTGATGTGCTTGTGACTTCTTTCCTACATATAAATCAACTGTTATTTTTTTCCTACCAGATTAGTGACCTTTTAACCATTCACTCAAAATACACAGGGAAATGTACTTTGAAAATAATTTATTTGTAAATCATAGAATTATTTTCTCAAAACTGAATTGTGATATTTTTTTCTGTTACTTTTTGTCTTACTTAGTCCTTTGAAAAAACAATTCAGAAAAATGAATGCTGTATCTTTAGCAATTTGAAGAATTCAAATGAAAATGCTACAGTATATAAATGACACTGCTTGAGAAGGGGAAACAAATTTTATCACATAAAAATGCAAAATAATAAAAATATTTGAACACATATATAATCATAATAAAATTTACTTCATACAAGTTTTCAGTTTCAACCCAATGAGTAATGACGAAAAATATTTCAATCAGGAAAACTTATTAACATAGAGGTAATTGGAAAGGTATAAGACATATCTACCTGTACAGGTAAAGTTTTGATGTACATGTAGGTCGTCCTTTTCACACCTGACCGCTCAGCCAAAATATATCATTAAATCTCACCAGGTAGCCTTATTTGATTGACAACTAGCCCATACTTTATGACCCCGATAAATGGTCAACATCCTCTCATTTATGACCCCAAATAAAAGGTATGATGATGACCCTACTAGATGGTGCACATTTATTAAAGAGGTTGTACTATATATGGTGTAAGAAAACTGGTGTTCAGATAGATATGTGGTGTCAATATGCAAGTGCATCATAAATAAAGTTATACTGGCATATTTAATTGTATATTACTTAATAAGCGTATTTAGTAATCATGGTAATAGTTTGAATAATAATCTTCACTATCTAAATATTTTCACGTGAATTGATGTTTCATGTAATAATCGAAGTGATATTGTCAACTTCAGAAAAAATATAAATGAATATACGGGTTGCGTTCATTAACACCTTATAACTAACCTTCATACAAGAGAATAATAACTCATTCAACTTATTATAAGTTTCAGTTTCGGTATCGGTCTCGGGTTCGGTTTCAGCTTAATGTGAAGATGTCTATTGGAAGTATTGTGAAAAGTATCAGTTGATCTTGTTAACAAATATTTCTGACATTGAAATGATATCTGATAAATGTAATATTTTTTTTTATTTTGAAATTATCGAAAGCTGATTAACCTTCAGTTTTGCATAAAACGACAAACTGACCCAAAATATTAAGACAGCCAAAATAATCAGATTTACGTCATGCTTCATGACCATGATGACTAGATCACATCAGATAACATTTGCTTATTCAAATTACAGGTGAACTCAACTTAACTGGTCTGAGTCATGTGAGTGCAAAAGTCACTACTTTACAAACTGAACAAGAAGAAACCATCCCTAAGAATATAAGAGGTTTGTGTACAGTAAATTGTATTTCCTTTACTAAGTCAATTACATATCGAAGAGACATAGATATACTTATAACTGTCGAAATCCAAACTACACATAAGCGTTGTTAGATACTACAATTACTTGTTGTTCGTACTTTTTCACTGTTTGTATGTTATTGTCCCTCCGAAATTGATGTGACTACCAAACTTTTTCAGGAATATTATATACCGAATGATGTAAAAAATGCAATAATTGAATGGAAAACACTGACAGAAAAAAACATTTTCTGTTTTGATTGGTAAATATTTCACATTCTCTTCCCTCACAAACTACAAGTTATGGTATTTTATTTCGATCAGCTAGGCAAAGCCACCAAAGGGGAACTTTATTCTGATTGGTTAATGATTAGTATTTATTATCTGAAAATAGAAAGCTAAACTCTTTTAAAACTTTTAAAAGTCATCATTTGTAGACCAATAATTCTGTAAGGAATGTCGATTTACATTTATTCAGTTTCACTTCTGGCGTATATAAGCTTTTACTGGTTATTACATAAAATGTTCTATCCAAAGCTACATCGCTTTTAATCTATTATAATGAGTTAAAGCTCATTCATGTATAAATGCAATGTAGAATGAGGGTACTTGATATGATTGCTTATGTGACAACTATCTAACAGACTCAAAATAAAGTAGAACAACATGTTTTTGAAAAAGAGAGGGAGTCGAAAATAAACTAACAACGTCATGAAAAAAAAAGAAAAAGACCACAAAACAAACAAGAGTATAAAAACACAACATACAAAGAAAAGGACTGAGCAATACGAACCCCTCCAAAAACAGGGGTGATCTCAGGTGCTAGGCTAGGGTAAGCAAATCCTTCTACACAAGTGACACCCGTTGTGTTACTGTTATAAAATATGTTGATAAGTTATATCAAGTGATAAGACATCACGCAATAGTGGATTGGTAATTGACTCGTATCAAACCATAAGACATCACTAAATTCTAGACCATCGGTCATGAATACTTTTCTAACCCGGAAATTTGACAGAACGTAAAACTTGAAAATGAAATAAGTTTTCCATGACAAAGGACAAACGAAACTATTACCTGTTTAAACAACACAAACATTGAAAAATTAAAAAGCACAAAAAACAACACGTTTAACTTACGCAATAGTACTATGAACCCCTTAAAAATAAAGTAGGCTTGATATCATGCGGTCCGAATGGGTAAGAAGGTCCTGCGCCTCATGTGGCACCCGTCATGTTGCTCATGTAAGTTGGTAAATAATTTGGTGCAAAGAAAACTTACAAAACCTTACCTTAAACCTAATAGATCATTATGTCGGAAAGCGTTCCATTTAACACTAAAACACGTCATGTGTGTATCAAAAACTCTCGTCTGAATATTCTGTTTTTCATGAAATCTAAAACCTCTTATTTAACATTAAGACATCACTAAATTCTAGACCATCGGTCGTGTATAATTGTCTAAACCGGAAACTTGACCGAACGTGAAACATGAAAATAAAATAAGTTTTCAATGACAAAGGACAAACGAAACTGTTACCTGTTTAAACAACACAAACACTGAAAAATTTAAAAGCACAAAAAAACAACACGTTCAACTAAAGCAATAGCACTATGATCCCCTGAAAAAGAAAGTAGGCTTGATATCATGCGGTCCGAATGGGTAAGAAGGTCCTGCGCCTCATGTGGCACCCGTCGTGTTGCTCATGTAAGTTGGTTAATGTTTTGTTGCAAAGAAAACTTATAAAACCTTACCTTAAACCTAATAGAAATCATTTTGTCGGAAAGCGTTCCTCTTAACACTACAAAACGTCATATTTGTTTTATAAACTCTCATCTGAAAATTTTATTTTTCATGAAATCTAGAAACAAACATTTTGACTAAAATACTTTTCTTACCCCAACCTCTATGATGAATGACATGAAAGGTGTACCGTGTTTTATAATCCAGTCCGTTTATATCAGTTTTTCAGTTAATGAAAATACGGATTTTGTGTTATTGAAAAAGGCTGTTTATATATTTGATTTTTTTTAATAAAGCAATGTATTTCAATCAAGGAAAAATCGGATAAATTTCCCGGTTTTCCTCTACTTTTCGGGCAATTTCGATTATATCTGTTTTTTAAAGTTGAATAAGATTTTGGATTTTTATTTTATTTTAATAGGGATTGCATCTCCTTCAAGCATAGCATGAACCTTTGTCCTGGTTGGCTATATTTTATAGACGTTTGCAGTTCTTAAAGAGTCTATTAGGTTTGCTATTTTCAGATATTAATTAAGGAATGCAAGTCCCTCGTGCATAGCTCTTATTCCTGGTCCTGGTTTGGTTTCTTTTTTGTCCATTTTATGTGTTTTAGCTCTTCAAAGTTTGTATAAGATTTAGGAGTTTCAAATATTTTGGCTTCGAGGATCACTAAAGCAAGGGACATCAATTGTCGAACTGGTGGAGTAAACTTTTTACCATTAATGATATAATGAAGAATGTATTGCCCTTAAAAGACGATGTTTGACTAATTTGTATCTGTCGTAAACTTTTCCAAATATCGTCTCCCGTGAAGCCGATAAACTAATTTCATACAAACAATTGGGCAAGTGATACTAAGGGGTGTCTTAAATATAGAAAATAAGGGTAAAAATGCTAAAAATTGTCTTGTATCTCGTAAACTTTGAAAGATAGGTAGAATCTATAAACAAACATATGTTTAGCAAACCCAGATGAACAAAAATGTTTCTTTGTTTAAAACAATTGGAAGACAACATAAGAAGTAATTGCTGTTAATTAACGCATTTTGAAAAATGTTCTTGATACCTTGCTTTTCCAAGGTATCATGAACAGAATATTAGATAATTTAACATTGTAAACAGCAAAACATTATCAGCATCAGAAGGTGTACAAAAATGACAAGACGATCAACCAATTGAATGATTCCTAAAGGAGTTAATGACAATAATTGAGGATATTATCCATGATTGACGTTTTGGGCAAAATCTATATCAACTAGAGAGACACTGCAAACTGATAAAATGATCAGCAATACAATATCAACAAATAGAAATCTTAAGATCAAGACTTATATTCTTGGTAATAATATTAGGATTGGCAATTGTTGAAGTTGCACAAAGATCTAGATGAGCGACTTATGCTCTTGAGAGCCATGAGATTTTGTTGTACTTTTAAGTTAAATCGTGCCTACAAAATAGATATCTTTTCCTCGAGTATTACTGAAGAGACATTAATTTCGAAATGCGCATTTCGTGCAATTAATTCGTACCAGTTATATTACTGTAGGAGTCACTGTAATCATTTGTAGATAATATTTCTAAACACAACCGTTTCCAACTTTTTTAGTAGCACATCTGGTGGTAGTGATCTTTCACTTAACTCTATGGGATATATAACTAACACTATATATGCTAAATCAGCTTTATGCTGATTTCAACAAAATTTATCACGCATAATGAATGCAAGGTTATTCATTAATAATTGAATTACCATGAAAACTACTATGATACAAAAAATGCACATGGCATATAGTCTTTTATAGCAATACCATGTTATTCCAATCAGCTGAATAATCGATAGCTCCTACAATTGTCAAAGATTGGTAGAGACCAACTATTTTTAAATGAGACACTATTTGATTAAGAAAATAGAAACGGGGAATGTGTCAAAGAGACAACAACCCTACCTAAGAGCAGAACACAACCAAACGCAACTAATTGGTCTTCAACGCAGCGATAAAAAATCCCGCGCCAGGAGGCGGCCTTAAGCTAGCCTCTAAACAATGATGTATACTAGTTCAGTGAAATGAACGCAACACTAAACACCGAAACATACAAATGAACCAACATTTAAAACAACAACACACAAGACTAACTAAAGCAAGAGTTGCCTAAATTGGGACAGGCGGAAAAATGCGGCGAGGTTAAACATTTTATTTTGAGATTCCAATCTTCGCTTTGTACCTCTAGCCAATGTGAAAAAACAACTATGCAAAGCAATACGCACAGTAAAACTAATTTTAAAAGATTATAGGGTCCGATGTTAAAAAAGGTACCAGAATAAACTAAGCAAAATGACAATGATCAACATAAATTAACAAAGTACTACTAGCAGTTACTGACATGTCAGTTCAAGATCTCAATTAAACTGATCGAAAAATTATGCCTTCCTTATATGAAAATTATTAACAATCCTTGCAATTCGGGGTTTAGTATCATGCTATCATAAATATACGAGAAGAGCATAGCCCGTATCATGCCAACTGCTGATTTTAAAATAAATGTGTTGATTTCCGATGCAACAACCCTATGAATAAATCAATTTTATTTTTAAAAAATGCTATCATTCAGTCTTCCATTATGACATTGCTTACTTTAAACGACATTTCTCACGTCCAAGTTGACATTTCGTATGCCATGTTGACATTTCTCACTTCCACCTTGATATTTTCTAGTTCTAAGTTGACGTTCCTCTGTAACTCTGTAAAAATATGAAAGAGAGAACTGTTAACTTGGAACTTACAAAATTCAAAGTTCATCTGAGAAATGCGAAGTTAAAACTGAGAAATCTTTTTAAATTTAAAGATAAAAGAACGTCAATATTGGTACCTCTAAGCTACACAAAAGCATTATTGCAATCAAAATAAGCTATTTCTATATATATTTTTTGTTTCTATTTGCTAGCAAAATACATTGAACAATAGAATTTATGATTCAGCATAAATTCGGTTATTAGTGTAAGCATAGATTACTTGTGTTATTAGCTGTTTCATCTCTATTAAATGTAGGCTATCAGATGTATGTTTGTCAATGCGCAATATGACTGCGCACGCGATCTTTTCATTCCGACATTTGAAAGAAACAGACGGAATATTATTTGGTGATTTAAAGATTTAAAGAAAATTATTTTGGTGATTAAAAAGATATAGGATCCACATTGTGCAGGTTTTGGTACCACTTTTCTACAATTGGAACTCAGGTGGTATAATTAGAGTTAGTCTCCCGCAACAATTGTGGGATATTTAATCGAATATCAGTGTTTTAAACAAATTAATTTCAATTTATTGCTTATTTTGCTTATTTTTACATGTTATAATACTTTTACTATCCGGAGGTAGCGATCGGTGTTTATGTATAAGAATTGAGCCATTAATTTTTTTTATGTACTGTTACTTAGAGATATACACGTTTTATTCCATTTCATTTCAACGCTTGACACCGATCTGTACATTTCACTCCGGCGGTCACAGCTTAATGCTAATTGAAGGTTACGCATGTTCAACATAATTATTTTTTATCTCTTCATGTATGCATCACCATAACCTTAACTGTAAGCATCATTATATATGCAATCGCAACAATTTGTTAGCTGTCTTATTATCTACCTCAGGTTATTACTATCATTCTAGATGTTATTATCATCATTCTAGATGTTATTATCATCATTCTAGATGTTATTATAATCATTATAGATAGTTATATATAGTACATGTGTTTTAAATATCGTCTAGTATTCTGTTAAATTAACTCTGTGTCCGTTTAATTACTTTGACCGATTTTATAATATAAATTAGAATATATCACCTCACTTGCGCTATTTTTAACAGCATCGTCATTCGGTACAGATTGTTTAATCAGCCTCCTCGCTCGTGTAACCCAGAATAATTTATTGTCGGAAGATGACCGACATTTGTGCAACGGTATCACTTCACGTAAACACAAATATTTCATTCCTGACAGATGAATGTTAAACTGGTTGGTTATAGGCGTCAATGAACTTTTAAAGTTCGCTAATTGACAAATTCTTTATTTATAGTACAAAGCAATATTCTGTTTTGGTTGTTCAATTTAATCTTATAGTTGTTTGGCACTAAGATGAATACAAGAAGGTCATCAAAAAGATGGAAAGCCACTGCAACATTAGGAGCTGCATCTAGACAAGAGGAAACACAACTTTAACCAGGTTCAGTACCAGCATCTAACGATCCCCCAACTTCAGGAGGATAGTTGTTCTTTTGATGTATTAAATCGACCAGGTAATGCAATCGGTAAAGATCATTCAAATCTCACGCAAACAACTAGTTACTCTCCTAGTCTTGATTAAGATGTTAGTCAGTACTTAAAATAAAATAAAAAAAATCAAACGGGCGAGTATGTCATCTTTGTTTTACTTAGGAACAACTCTATAGTTGATAATGATCAGCAAAAAGTGTCATATGAACAGGGGAAACTTTTTATTAAACCAGTTTTGCCTCATACAAAAATAACAAATAAAGAAATTGAACTTAAGTATAAATATATTGTTGCTGAGATACTTTTGCAGTGGAATTAAGCTCGATATAAAGTTCCACGGTTTGGGACTAGGCATTCGACAACTATGTTAATATAGCAGTATTATTATATCCTCAATCGATTTGGCTGTCATTAAAATGAATATTATGTTATCTACGTTTAATGTTTACAATATATACTTGATAGTCCTTGTACAACTGTTCACATTATTTAACACACATTTCGATGTTTCTCTTTCGAATACAAAATCTTTCTAATTAGATACGTTACAGTTTGAGATAATAAATTCCTAACGTAATGTATCTACAAGCTGCGATGCCGATTACGATTTGAACTTTTCTTGACCTTAGAAATGATATATAGTAAATGTAAGGAAACCGTTAACTCTCTGAGATTGTAAGTTCATGTCAACGATTTGCAGACGATAATCTTTTCAAAGATTAAAATTTTTGGTGATCAAGTTTGTAAAAGTAACTTGCAATCGAAAATAGTGTACAAACGATCTCTACGCTAATGATTAATACTAATAAAAAAAAAAAAAAAATTATTCTAACAAATGAACTAAATTACAAATAATATTGTCATCTCGCCAGATATCAAGAAAAATATATATATTATTGAACTCCATTTAATTTTATCTAAGACTGACCAGTGCTTCGAAGGAACCACACACGTTATTCATGAGCGGCCTAGAGATGCTTATCCTATTTTTGCTTAAACGAAATAACTTACTATTTACAAGTTTAGACCTGTCACTGGTCAATTGCTTTGTTATAAGTCCCCTTTCGATTGAGTTTAGGGGGACTTAAGGTCTGTCTGTCTGTCCACCTGTCAATCCGGCAAATCAGTCTTCTACATTTTTGTTTTCGTGCTTGAAGATATCGGTTTGATATTTGGTGTATTGTTTTATCATGACAAGTTACTGACCAAGTATGAATGTTGTTCCGGTCTGATGATTTTGTGCAGAGTTGTGGTCAAATACACACAAATAATTAGTTTTCCGCACATTTTTTCGTCATACTTGAAGACGTTGATTTGATAATTGGTATATAGTTTTATCGTGACAAGTTACAGATCAGGTTCGAATTGTGTTCCGGTCTGATGATTTTGTGCAAACTATGGTCCTTGGACTAAGAGAATTCATTAAAATAATCAGTTGTCTGCACATGTTTTCGTCATGCTTGAATATATTGATTTGATAAATTGTATATAGTTTTATCATGATAAGTTACGGACCAAGTTCGAATTGCGTTCCAGTATGATGATTCTGTGCAAAGTTATGGTCCTTGGACTGAGAAAATGCACTCAAATAATCAGTTTTCCGCATATTTGTTCGTCTTACTTGAAGATATCGATTTGATAACTGGTATATAGTTTTATCATGACAAGTTACAGATCAAGTTCGAATTGTATTCCAGCCTAATGATTTTGTTCAAAGTTATGGTCCTTAGACTAAGAAAATTCCCCCAAATAATCAGTTTTCCGCAATTATTTTTTTTTTTGTTATTGCTTGAAGATATTGATTTGATAATTTGTACATAGTTTTATCATGGTAAGTTACATATCAAGTTCATATTTTGTTCCAGTCTGCTGATTTTTGTGCTGAGTTTTGGTCCTTGGACTTAATATTCTATAAATTCACACACATTATCAGTTTTCCTCAATTTTTTGTTGTTGTCATGCTTGAAGATATTGCTTTAATAATTGGTATATAGTTTTATCATGACAAGTAATTGCTCAAGTTTCGAGTTTTGTTCCGGTTTGGTGATTTTGTGCAGAGTAATGGTCCCTGGACTTAATAAAAATTTACTTGATAATCAGTTTTCCACATTTTTTTTTTTCTCGTCATGCTTGAATATATTGACTTGATATTTGTTCTGTAGTTTACACCATGACAAGTTATAGATCAAGTTAATATTTTGTTCCAGTACAATGAATTATTAACCGGTTGTGGCTATGTATTGCAATGCATTACTTTCAGAATGCTTGTTTTGATAGAACTCCTTTCTCTAAATATCAGTTTAGGAGTCCTAAGATAGTCACTGAATATTTTCGGATTAAGTCAAGGGATACAAAGTTCTCGTTTCTTCAGGAAAGGCGCTGCTACAGAGCTGCCATAAATGGTTGACCTGATTCTAAACCTCAGGCAATGTGTTCATGGAAGTCTATGTCATTTCGTTCATATATTCAAATACAACAATGGGTATAACTGTTTGAATTTTTTCTAATTTTATGTTTAGAACTTGCAATTACTTTAGTAATACTAACCGTTATGCAAGATTAGCAGTTTCGCCAGTAATCATTAGAGTTTGGTTTCCACCTTTGTAGAAAACGAATTTATTCAAGTTTGGAATATACCAGGTGGCATTCATCTTGTACAAGATTAAACTGGAATTCAGTTTTCAATATCTCTAATTTTTCACATATGTAGATACGCGGAATTGATTGAATTGACAATACGACAGGAGTATAACATATAAGATGTGGGAAAAAACATATAAGATGTGGGAAAATACTGTGAATATAGTTTCTGTTCTTTTACTGAATATCAGATTGTTGTGGTCTTAAGTTTGCCAAATAAACATGACATTATTCCGTAGTAACAGAAACAATGATTAGAACCAGAAAGAGGACAATCAGCTGGCTGGCTAGTTTGATCATTCGTCAAGGGGGATATTGCAATCAATACATACGATACTCCGATGTATCTCCCAATTCCATATTTAAATGCCAAGATGGTGAACATTTGACTCATATTGGTAATACATTTTGCTTACCACATTTCAAAGCGCGGTAGAAGCCTTTCTTGTCTACACACCACATACTTTCCACAATGTGTATTAAGAAATTGCATGATATTCATTAGAATTCAGTTATCGTTAGGGTTTAAATATATGAGTCCTTTATATTGTATTTGGCTCACAGCTTCTACGCAGCTCTATCCGCTTTTAATGGCGGTTGACCCGACAGTCATTTATGACTGTCTTGGTCAATTTGGCACATTTCGCTGCGTTTCCTTTAAATATGCGTCATTTGGCGTCATATTTCATTTAGCATCCAAAACATTTGATATTGTGGGTCTCTGTATCCCAGGACCACCACACAAAAATTTACGAATCTCTGTTTCCCAGGATTCATTTAATTGGATGCTTTATTTATTGTAAATAATTAGTTATCTAGTTATCTATCTATCTATCTAGTTATCTTTTTGTAGTCTGCCAATATGAAAGGTGACTACGTTTAATTAATTATCTATTTACTATATATATATCTTAATTATTTATCTATTTAGTTATCTAGTTATCGTGTCGTAGTTTGCCAATATGAAAGGTGACTACGTTCATCGAAATATCTATTTACTTTACATATATATATCTTAACTGTTTACCTAGTTATATGTGTTTATAATTTTATAATAAAGCTGTGGCCAAATACTGCCAATACCGTGTTTCTAATCATTGCGCATCAATAATAATAGAATTTATGATTCAGCATAAATTCGGTTATTAGTGTAAGCATAGATTACTTGTGTTATTAGCTGTTTCATCTCTATTAAATGTAGGCTATCAGATGTATGTTTGTCAATGCGCAATATGACTGCGCACGCGATCTTTTCATTCCGACATTTGAAAGAAACAGACGGAATATTATTTGGTGATTTAAAGACCCACCCACCCACCACTATGTCTTATACTACCTAGCATAATATATCATGAACATATTTTTGCTGTGTCTTTACTATATTTTTCAGGATGATTCTTGTACAACAGTTCGGATGAACCGTCAACTAAGCAGTATATGTGGAACATCAGATTATTATCTACAGTGTACTCTTCCGTTGTTTGCTAGTATAGCTATGCCATCTCAACGTGTGTTGTGTTTTAAGACTATTTATTCTTAGACATTTATATCTACAGTAATCTGTGACTTCGTTCGTACATGTATCATGTAAGAACAATTTTTGTACGTGCCGGTTTACATGATCATTCCGTAGTGATATTTAGTCATGGGCACATTTCGCTGCGTTTCCTTTAAATATGCGTCATTTGGCGTCATATTTCATTTAGCATCCAAAACATTTGATATTGTGGGTCTCTGTATCCCAGGACCACCACACAAAAATTTACGAATCTCTGTTTCCCAGGATTCATTTAATTGGATGCTTTATTTATTGTAAATAATTAGTTATCTAGTTATCTATCTATCTATCTAGTTATCTTTTTGTAGTCTGCCAATATGAAAGGTGACTACGTTTAATTAATTATCTATTTACTATATATATATCTTAATTATTTATCTATTTAGTTATCTAGTTATCGTGTCGTAGTTTGCCAATATGAAAGGTGACTACGTTCATCGAAATATCTATTTACTTTACATATATATATCTTAACTGTTTACCTAGTTATATGTGTTTATAATTTTATAATAAAGCTGTGGCCAAATACTGCCAATACCGTGTTTCTAATCATTGCGCATCAATAATAATAACGAAAAGTACATGTTTTAGTTACATGTCTACGTACATGTAAATAATAAAATGTGGTATGAGTGCCAATGAGACAACTCTCCATCCAAGTCACAATGTATAAAACGTGAACAATTATAGGTCAAAATATGTACCCATTCTATTTGAACTTCATTGAAAATACGTTGAAAATTTGTGTGTTCATGTTATTTGTTCAGTACACAATCCCAACTGTTTGTAAGGTTCGTGTTGATGAGTCTATGTAGTGTATTGTGAACTTGTTTGTTTTTTGTCGTCTTTCTTATTTTTACCGTTGCGTTGTCTGTTTATTCATGACTAATGAGTTTTAAATATCCCATTGTATTGTCTGCCTATTTGGTTTTTTTTTTACATTATAGACCAAATGACCAAAGAGATAGAGGAGTGGAAAATAAAAGACAACAAATTTATACCTACAAGAGTAAGCGCTTACGTTTCCAATATCTTGAAAAAAAAGAGCTCCGTGACATTGACCGGCAGTCCAGGGGTTGGAAAAACATTCCTTGCTCGACACATCGCCCTTTATTTCCAATCAGAAGGATATAGGATTATCCTAGTTCTAACACCAACAGATATAAGGGACTATTATACACCCGGAAAACAAACTATTTTTCTTGTAGATGATATATGTGGTAAATTTATTGCAAACCAATCGCAGCTTGAGAATTGGCAACAAATGTTACCAAAAATAGAACAAATACTTGCAGACAACTGTTGCAAAATTATTGCAACTTGTAGATTACAAGTCTATAGGGATGATAAAATAAGTTTATTAGAGCCTTTTAAGATATGTGAATGCAATTTAAACTCAGACGAAATGTGTCTTACACAATCAGAGAAAACAAAAATTAAAGAAAAGTACTTGGGTAACAAAAACTTAGATGACATTGCACAAGTAAGTGATTTTTTCCCTCTTTTATGTTCCCTGCAATGGCTTCTTGAAAAAGATGGAATAGATGTCAGCAACTTGTTCAAGAGTCCGTTCGAATTTTATAAAAAAGAATTGGACAATCTAAATAGATGTGGTGATGAAGGCAAGAAAAAAATATGTAGTCTTGTTTTATGTGTACTTTTCAATAATTGTCTGGAGAAAAAATGGTTCGAAGGAAGAGTCACAGATGCACAGCGCCAAATTTTAGACGATGTATTTATGGCTTGCCGGCTGAACACAGGTATACCAAAGACTGAACTTATGGATGCATTAGACACATTAGATGGTTCACTAGTTTGTAAAGGGAATTTAACGTACAGTACCATACATGACAAAATTTTTGATTTTTTGGCTCATTACTTCGGTGGAAAAATGATTCGATGTTTGATAGATCATTCTCATCCCTATTTCATATATGAACGGTTTCAGTGGACAAAATCGATAAACCCTAGTACAAATGAATTCGCTATAGAGCTAACTGATGAAAACTTGCATTGGTATTTGGACAGATTAGTGAATGACTGGTCCAAAGGCAAAGTATCAGTCGTAATTTCCAACTCAAATATGAATGATGAATCATTTAGAAATCAATTCCTATTTTACCTAATGCAACTAGAAAAAATACAACAAGAGAAACTGGCAAATACACAGGATACTCTTCAAAAAAAGGAGTGGGGTACTTCAGGAAGCTATCCCATAATATGTGCATGTTTTGAAGGTTATATTGATATTGTTCATTGGCTGTTAGGCAATGCCGTGGATGTGAATCAATGTAGAGATGATGGCAATACTTCTCTCTATATGGCTTGTTATAACGGTCACAAAATATCGTTTCCCTCTTGTTAAAGAAGAATCATTCTATCAACGTGTGTAATGAAAAAAGAGTTACTCCTCTTTTCATTGCATGTGAGAAAGGTTATACCGAAATAGTGGAAGCATTATTGGAACATAATGCCAATGTCAATATTAATATGAAAGATGGAAAAATTCATGTATCCCCGCTACTTCAAGCTACTATGATGGGTCACTATGACATCATGAAAAAGCTATTGGAGAAAAACTCAGACGTTAATTTTTATGATACAGATGGTTTCACTCCTCTTATGTTCGCTTGTCAAAATAACAATACGGAAATGGTACGTCTATTGATAGATAGTAAAGCGAATGTAGATATGAGAACGTACACTGGTTCTAACGCTATAATCTTTGCTTCAGCAAATGGAAATATTGAAATCATTCGGTTACTCTTAGAATCAAATGCTGACATCAATTCGCGTACTTACATGAAAGAGTTAATAGTATTTAAAACAATGGTTCGTCCCTTGACAACATTAGAAAACTTGAAGCTGTACCTATACAACTTTGTACTTGAAAAGGGAGTGTGTAGTATCCAACAGTATGCTCGTTTAAAGTCAAAAGATTATATCTTTGATGTAATGGCAGGATCATCTCCATTGCATATTGCTTGTTTTTTTGGTAATTTGGAAACAGTTGAATGTCTTTTGCAATATAATGTCTGTGTAAATCTGACAAAAGAAGATGGAACAACACCATTATTTTATGCATGCAAACTCGGACATGATAATATTGTACGGTTGCTATTAGATAAAGGAGCAAATATCAGGCTATTCAGAAATGATGGAAAATCGCCGCAGACCATCGCAAAACAAAATGGACATAAGTATATAGAGATGAAGTTGCGGAAGCATTTCAAGAAAATCAAAGCCTAAACAATATCTTTGTCAGTGTGAGTTGAATGATTACGGGAATCTGCTATATTGTTTTAGGAATAAACAGTTGAAGTAATACATCTGCGATTTTTTTATTTGACAATAAGACAATTTTTCATTACTTTGACTCCAAAATGTCTTTTTTTTTTATTATTTTTTCAAAAAGAACCAAAAAAATATTCCGTACTTAATACTCTTTCCTCAATTTTGACAGTTAGTTGGTTAGGCATTTCCATTATTTCCTAATTGTCAAATTTCATTGAAAAACTAATTAGACTACTATAAACCTTAAGATTGATGTATTTTTTTTTTTAATTTTGTCAATATTTTTCATTAGTTATGTTAGTTGTTTTGAAATTTTGTGTTTTCAATAAGAAAGTTTGAAATGATTGATTGGTTGATTGTTGGTGTTTAATTTTCAGCGTTCTTGCCTATACCATGGTATGAAAACTTTTAAAGTTCAAATATAATGTAAAATAAAAACGTCTACTATTTGATAAAAGAAAACCTTTGTCAACACCACTTAACTTCTGACATGTAGGCAATCGATGGAGGGTGGCATATTAATTTTTAATAAATATAATTCAAGCAATCAATAAAACATATAATACATATATATATTATTATACATAAATATTTTTATATCACTCATAACAACATCAAGTCATTTTTTCTATTACTGCTAAGAGTTGCTTGCCAGGATAATAACACATGAATAGCATGTGTATTAATTTATGATAAAGCAAATGTATAAATTAGAACGAATATCGGGCTACCAAAATATACTTAGTTGTAGCATATAGACATATCAAAACCACATGGTTACTTTAAGAACACAAGGTTGATTGCAATGCAAGCATTCATCATAAATAGTTTATATTATTGAAATTGTTGTTTCGTCCTTGGACAGTACTAGACAGGTATTGTATATTTTAAACCGTTACTGTATAGTCCATTTTTTATTATATACTTATGACGTGGCTCAGTACTTATACATTCCGCCATTGTGTTATTGTGCTATGGTCAATTTTGAATTCTTGTCTCTCATTTTTGCTTATGTACTTTGTCTATATGCCATTTTGTGTTTCTTTGTTGAAACAGTTATTTTTTTTTATAGTGATTAAGATTATATTACAATGTGGATTGCTGTATCCCAATTTTTAACGTTTTTACCTATTGTGTCTGTTTGTTTTGCTCACACATTCTTGTCAATGTAATGGAATTCAACGCGACTGTCATACAAGTGACAGGTTTAGCTAGCTATAAAACCAGGTTTAATTCACCACTTTCTACATAAGGAAATGCCTGTACCAAGTTGTTTTCCATTCGTTAGATGTGTTTGAACTTTTGATTTAGCCATTTTATAAAGAACTTTCCGTTTTGAATTTTACTTGGAGTTCGGTATTTTTGGTTATTTTACTATCTACACTGTTATTGTATGAACTGCTAATTTAGAACTAATAACATTGCATGTTTCCTAATAGATAACGGAGCAGACACAAGTATGCACATAAGAAATGGAAAATCGCCATTTTTCGTCGCGACAGGAAATGAGTATAGCAATATAAGGAAGAAATTGCAATGCAATTAACCTGTCCTGCAGTGTTGAAATCCTTAAGTAACCGACAGGATTCAGCGGCGTACTTGATGCTGGTAAATATCATAGAGACTAATTTTCATTAAGTGTATACTTGTTCTAACTCGATAGTAAATCGTTACTTCTATTCTTATTCAATCGGATAAATCTATTAAGTCAGACTGTGTTAACAGCCTTACGAAACGTACACATTATGCAGGTTAAAAAAAAAGATTGCTTTCTGTGCTGATATTTTAACTGAGTCGACCAATGTCTTTGAATAACATCTTCTCTTACCTTAATAAGAGATTATGTTTTGGATTTTATTTTTATATTGGTAAGTATATACCATTAAGTCTGGTAATTTCATATTGCAAGCATTAGTCCGTTTATTCCATTTATATATTGTGCAATTAATGTATTAACGAAATAACGGGCTTCGCGCTGTCACGACAGAAACACGCATCACGCATCAAATACGCCTACGTTGCATACTAACGCACCCGTGAACAGTACACCCGTTACCACAACGTTACATTTTAACGCACATACCCGTTAACGTCTCTATGAGTCTTTTATAGACGAAACGTGCATCTGGCCTACTAAATCCTTATCCTGATATCTATGATGAGTTTATTCACGTTGCTCAACGGACGCTCTGTGAATAAGTTTTCTGTGGTCCCAAGAGTGACCTTAGTATAATATTTACCGGTAAACTAAAACGGTTATTTCAATAATGCATACAGTTTTACAGTAGATTTTCGTAACTGGTAGATAATTTATTTTATAAATCAAAACAAAAGAAATATTGAATGTTATGAAATACTGTATTCAGCAATTTATTTCAAGAACTATTATTTAATTAATTGTCAAAATCATGATGCAATGAATAGTTATTTCAATAATGATTACTCTATAAGCTGTATTGTTTTGAATAAATTGTCATAATTACTATTGCTGCTCTTTATGACTTTATTTGGTATAATCTTAAGCAAACATATTCATCCTTCATCGGCTACTATTAGATGATGTCGATTATATCCATGATTTTGTGTAACTCATACTGACTGTGTTTACAGTAAAATCCAAATTTGAGAAAGTAAGGCTGGCTGGCAGTCAAGTTGGAGGGCTTTTGTTTTCAACCAGTGTCTGGGCATTATCGTAAGAACCGTTGGATCGTTCCTTGTTAATTTTACAATAGTATTTTCATTACAAAATGGAGATTAAGTTTGACTTTGACGATTTTGACATTGACATTCAAATCCGGATATGGTACTTGATTTGTTATTACTATAACACTAATGAATGAATATAAAGCTTGATACAGTTTCAATATGACAACCATTTGCTTCCAATATAACACACACATGTTCCATTACGACTTTCATTTTATCGTCTTTTCCGAGGTATTTCTGCATTATGCATTGAACATGCTACACAAATAGTAAAATACCAAAAATACCGAACTCCAATGGAATTTCAAATTCAATACGGAAAGTCCTTTATAAAATGGCAAAATCTAAATCTCAAACACATCTAACGAATGGAAAACAACTGTCATATTCCTGACTGGGTACACGCATTTCCTTATGTAGAAAATGGTGGATTAAACCTGGTTTTATAGCTAGCTAAATCTCTCATTTGTATGACAGTTGCATAGAATTCCATTATATTAACAACAATATATAAAGAATTCGATTTCTTGAAACCATGTAGTCTTTAAGGATTAGGAATCTAGTACATTAGTACATTTTTATTCACGTATTTTTTTTTTTTATTCTTATAAGTGCTTTGAATTGAAAGTTTTGAGTGTGTGGACTGATGGTTGCCTATTTTGTTTTTGTATGTTATTATGGGTGTTAAAAGGTCTTGATCATCTTCAAATTTGAAAATGTCTTGATATTCTAAGATTCAATGTTATATTCACTATAAACAAATCGGTTTTTTTTTTTCTTGATTTTCTGTTTTACAAAGGACAAATTGATAAAACCTGTCCATATTCATGGTATTATTTACTACAAAGAGTTTTACAAAAAATGTTTCCTCATACAAGGCCGTGTTCACATTGAGCTAAACTCGGTGTGGTGTAAGTGTATTCAACACTTAAACTAAACTCTGGTACGTTCCCATTGATAAAAATCAATGTTTACATGTAGTTTAAATCAGGTTTTGACTACATGCAGTCGATAGTCAATGTAGACCTTATGTGGATTAAGTGTACATATAACTAGATATTTAGAACGTGGATTTTATTGTGAATATTTAAGGAAGTTACATATTGGAATAAAAATGGTTATAAAATATTATGACTTAAGTTATTTCCCTTTAAGTCAAAAACGCAAAAAGTGCTCAGTTAATGAGTATGATTCAATTAAAATAGTTCTAGTGTACCATTTGATTTTCAGTGCGAGGGGGAATTTTTGCTAATGGAATATTCATTTCACACCTGTTGAAAGTTCGGTTTATTTATTTCGCGCGAAAATTATGTTCACGATTGTTACACAACTATTTCTTGCAAAGTCCTCAGTGTATTTTTTTTGACAAAATATATTTTCATTCTGTTTTGGACAAGTTTATCTTTTACAGTTAGTACCAGCCTAGAATAATCATTTCCAAAATCACCCCAAGGTGAGTAGAAATATGGTAGGTTAGGTCTTCTTCCGATCGGCA